CACTGACGATCTCATGTAAGAAATCAGTGCTTCTTGCGGAAATACCATGCTGCTCCCATTCGGGCAAAAGTCCTTTTGCGCAAAGCTTTTCCGCAAAAGGGCCAGTGTAGACAGCTCAGATTTGTTTTCCGCAAAAAATCCCCAATCGCAAAAATGGCGATCGGGGCTTTTTTGCAGAAAAGCGCGTCTAGATTGGCACGGATGTTTTTCCGCAAAAAATGTTTTGTGGAAAAGCATCCGTGCCAATCTAGATGCTCTTTTCCACAAATGCTTTTAACGGAAAACTTTTCCGTTAAAAGCATTTGCGGAAAATCATGCCAGTCTAGACGTAGCCCTCTAGTCTGGCACCCTTAAGACCTGACCGGTGCCTAACCAGAGATTTTGCTGAACCACAGTGGGTCAATATTGTCTAGCAACATCACCAACACTTCCACAGCTCGCTGGGCTCTTCGATGACATTTAGGGGTAAATTAGCTAAATAAGTACAGAACACTGGGAGCCGGGATGGGTGACTGTAAACAAACTTCATGGGATCGCGGGAAACTTGGTCACACCCATAAATGGACACCTGGCGAACTCAAATCATGCCAGACCATGGATGTTGCTGGACCAGAGAGTGCCAGACTACAGAGGTTCAACCCGTATTTGGCGTAAATGAGTTACCTAATGTTAAAATGGTGCTTGGTAAGTTTATGAATGGGATATATGATAGCAGGCAACTGGACTGAAGGATCCAGGAGGTCCCGTCTAACTTCACGCTCCTAACAGGAATTTGTCGTGCACTGGGCCATCAGATCATCAAGACGACATGGTAATAGCAGGTTTAAAACTAATAAAAGAAAGTTCTTCTTCACACAGCATGTTGTCAACCTGTGGAACTCCTTGCCAGAGGAGGCTGTGAAGGCTAGGACTAGAACAGAGTTTAAAGAGAAGCTAGATCATTTCATGGAGGTTAGGTCCATAAAAGGCTATTAGCCAGGGGATAAAATGGTGTCCCTGGCCTCTGTCTGTCAGAGGCTGGAGAGGGATGGCAGGATACAAATCACTTGATCATTGTCTTGGGTCCACCCCCTCTGGGGCACCTGGTGTTGGCCACTGTCGGCAGACAGGATACTGGGTTAGATGGACCTTTGGTCTGACCCAGTACGGCCGTTCTTATGTAATAGGCACAGAATAAACATCTCGCTTGATTAATAGACCCCATCTTGATCCAATCTGCATCTGCCACATGGTGTTGGCTGGAGCGCTGTACTGTTGGCAGTCGCAGTGGGCTAAAGAACCTTCTGCCCTCTCGTCCCTTGAGGGTTGGAGCGCAGCGGTGCCCACTTCCCATAGGCAGAGTTTGTAATCCCTCTGTCCTAGCTGCATCGGGTACCCTGGGGAACAGCAGGAAAGCAGAGTTGGGAAGGTTACTGCTAAGCTGCAGAACAGGGAGCTTCTATCTGCCAGTTCCAAGATGTTGCTCTCTGCCAGATACCATCTAAAGGCTGGACCACCTCTACTGAACAAAGTCCTGGCCTCAACCTACTAGAGTCAGAGCCCCCCCCAGTAAACCTCCTAGGAACTCACAAACATCACCTCTGTACTGCAAGAATACAGGGACTCTGATACAGACGCATCTCCCCCTCGTTCCTGTGTGGTATAGCACGGTGCTTACTCCTTGGGGTTCCCGGAACTCCTGTGGCTCCTGCAGGCTGGTGAAAGATGCATAAAAGGCCACTTGGGGCTGGGGAAAGTGGAGGGCTCACATAGATCCGTCACACCCAGCAGTTCCATGCCAGCTGCCTGTGGATAAGATGCAGAGCCCCTCTACAGTAGACTTAAATGCCCTTGGCATTTATTGACCCAATGCAAAGCTGGCTTATGCAGCAGTAATGAGCTACCTCGCCCCTTACTGAAACACCACAGGGGCGGGGTTTGACCCGTGGCATGCACTGAGGACACATAGTCCACCCGTGAGCCACGGCGTCACTTCAGAGCAGTTGCACACAGCATCCAGATGGTGCGGCTGGGAACTCTTACCAAACTGGCCTTGTAAACAAAGACGAAACCTCTGTTCTCAAATCAGCTATTGACTTCCTGGAGAGAGTTCAGTCCCAGGTCAGCATGTGTTGGAAATCTTCTCATCTCTACAGCCTCCCATATGGAATCTGTTAATGGTGGGTCTGTCAAGGTACTCAGATCAGTTCAGAAGATGGAAAATGAAACGCCCAGGTAGGACAACTCCCCTGAGGGCTTGATCCTGTGAGCTGTTGGGCGTCCGCAGCTCCAACACTTCCGAGGATTGGGCCCAGAGAGACCATGTGTTAAAATGAGGAATCCCAGAACGTGAAAAAAAAATCAACAATAAAAATTCCTATGGGTTGTTCAGCTCTAGGGTTTAACACAGCCCAGTGATTGGGTTTTATTCAGAAGGTCTATTCACAGGAAAAGGGCATTTTTTGAAAGGGACCAGTGTGAGTTCAGCAACGTATTTAAATATGTGTTTAATTTGAAGCACCTGCTATGTTCCATGGAAGTCAATGGAATTTAAGCATGTGTTCAAGCATTTTGCTGAATTGGGATGGGATCCTGAACTGGGAAAAACTCTGGTGAGAGCAGAGGTAGTGATTTTTAAAAAGGCATTTGTTATTTCTCCCCTAATTCCTTATCTTGTTTATAATTAAAAGGTACACTAAATTCCTTTCCCAAGGCTAAACAGCTCTGAAGTACTGCAGTCTGTATCAGCATGGAATTGAAACAAAGCAAAACACAAAACCAAGTTAAGAATGCAGACAGGCTGAGATAAGTAAAGGGTTATTCGCCTCTTTGTTTCTTTGTGTTTCTTTTCTGTATTATTCCAGTAAACCTGGATCTTTAGAGTCTGATCCAAAGCAAGCTGAAGCCGAGGTGAGTCCTTCTAATGGTTGCAATGGATTAACCTGAGGATGGCCACATTTAATTACACAGCCTTCTCATTCAGCAGCTAGTGAAATGAATATTAACTATTGAAACACAGGTCCATAACCCCCACCTCCCCATAGTATGATTCATTATAAGTACACAAATAATTCCAAGAACAGTCAATACTCTGAATTGGCATTTCAATCACAGGTAAATGCGCTGTGGTCTGAATTCCCCTCACTAGAACAGAATTAGTAGAAAGACTGAACAGATTTATATTTCCAGCTTTAGGAATCTCATTTTTTAAATCAATTTTCTTTTGGGGCCGCCTTGATTTTCTTGAAGGCGTTTCACATAATAGGACAAATGAGCGTAAGATAGTTTTGGAACGCTATTATTGATACCAGAAGACTTACCCGGCGTTGACCCTTCAGGGCAAGGGGCTGGCAGTGTGTGTGTGTGGGGGGGGTGTGGGTGGGTGAGAGGGGCGGTTCAGGAGTCAGGGCCGGGCCTTGGGGATGTGGGAGGCTCCGAGCAGGAGGGTGCGGGCATGGGAGGGGGCAGGAGTTAGGGGAAGGGGTGAGGAGGGGCTTAGGGCAGAGGTTGGGGTGTGGTCAGTGGCTTTTCCCCAGCTGAAGCCCAGGGCAGAGGGAACTGCACACCTTGCCTGCTGGCTTATCCCTGGAGTCCAGTGCGGGGCTCTCTCATTCCCCTTGACCCCTTCTGGGGCAGGAGGGCATCCTTCCCCTCCGGCCCAGCCTAGGGCAAGGGGGCTCCTCTCCCTCTGGCCTGGGGTGGGGAGGCCTCTTTCCCCCTCACCCTGGCCTCTCCCCGAGAAGGGGGGGCTCTCTTTATCCCCCCAGTCCCTCTTTCCCCCTCACCCTGGCCTCTCCCCTGGGCAAGGGGACCCCAGTTACCTGATTTGCTGGCCAGGCCCGTGGTGGTGTGGCTTCCCCCCAGTGGATGCTCTCTCCTTAGCTCTCCCTCGCTGCCCCCGGTGGCCGCTCTCAGATCGCATCCTTCAGAACAGCGGCCACTCCCTTTACATGTTATGGAAAACTGTCCTTTTCCTGGTGCTCCCGGTTCTCCTGGCACAACCCCACCCTGACCCTGCTTTCAGCTAGGAGAAGAGGAAGTGGCATTTTAAATTTGGTGGCCCTCGCTCTTACTGTTTTCTAGGCGTTCTGGAACAAACGGACTTGTAGATAGACAGGCGCAGTCTAAAATGACGGAGATATGCCATTTTAAAAAGATGACTGCCGCCCCAAACCAGAATAACCTCGTGGTTGTCAATTAGACCAATGATTCTCAACTTTTTTTTTTAAATAAAGCACTCCTTTAAAAAAAATTATAAGTCCCTCCAGTATCTACAGTTTTCAGAGACACAATTTTTTTCTACCGTTGCAACACATTTGTTTTAACAGTTTTCTCCAAATTTCAGTTGTGTTGAGGTACCCCCCAGACATCTGTCAAGTACCCCTCAGGGTACTTGTACCACTGGCTGAGAAACACTGATTTAGACAGTCATTTGCAGTCCACAGCCTGTACATTATTCAGTTTGATGCTGTTCCCCTCCCTCCGTTTGAATTGACCATCTCTTTATTGTCAGTTTGCATTGCTAATTATTTCTTTTTCAACCAAACTCACTTTGTCTAAGCAAGGAGAACAAATATATTGTTTTTTTAAAAGAAAATAAAGTTAAATGACATGTCACCTGTAATTCCTTATTTCAGGCAATGATGTTCTCATAGATGTGTTGTAATGTATTGCGACAAAAGCTATCTTGGCCTTGATCCATTCCTCAGAGAAGCCAAAAAAGATGCCCATTGACTCTAAGGGGAGTTTGATAGGGCCCGTTAGGTTAAATTCATCCCAGGTACAGGGAACTTGTACATTGTCTATGCATCACTGAGGTCTCGGCTTAACACTAATACTTTAACAACATTTATCCAGACTCTTAACTGCTACTTACGAAAAAAACAGAACTGCACCGTGTAATTTCATTGTAATGTGAATTGAAAAGGGTGGTGTCCCTTGCTAGATCTATTCCCCTTTCCCATACTCAAAGGAGAGGGATACAGCAGGTTCCAAGTTATGTATATATTGTAGCAATATGTGATACACAATTGTAAATCGCAGATTAAAAAGCAGATTGTGATTTGTAATCTAGTACTAAAATAGATACATAGATACACAATGTGTTCTGGAAAATGACAAAACTGTTCTTTTCATGTTACCCCAATGCAAATGTGACTGCCGTTTTTGTTGAGTATCTACTCCTTTAAGATACATATTGTGGCCAAGCAATTGAAATTGATACCCATGTTTAATCAAAAGAAGCAGCTAGAACTGCATATGTTTTCAGAGTTTGCATGCTCAATACAGAACTAGTAGGTTTAAAAATCTCAGTGAACATTCTATGTGAATTAAGAAAACCTTAGAATAATGTGAAACTGAAAATAAACTACAGCTTTTCACTTAAACATATGCAACTCTCTTCATGCAGAATTTTGTTTTAGTTTTTTAAAGTTACACTTTGCATTAAAGAACATAACCAGTGTAAACACAATCTGTAACACTTATAAAACAGTGCAAATGTTGTAAATTTCATTTTTTTAAATACATGTATTCATAATGGAGGTAAAATCACCTTCATTCTCCATAGAAAAATATTTATATTAAATACCTACATATGTTGAACTTAACTTTACAAAACAGTAAGTTATAGTTCCACATTTGTAATAAATGACTATCATTTCTATGTTTCCACGTTTAATGTTAGTGTCAAATGCATGTGTCTAGAAAAACAAAATAAGCTTGTATTATTGAGAACAGAATGAAAATACTGCAGTTCATAACTAGCGTGAAGGGGTGCAAGAGAAAGTTGATAAATATTGTGAGAGCAGTAATGGAAAAATACAGAACATTTATGGATTATTGCACATTTGAGTTCACTCTTACAACCTTTGGGCAAATGCGTAACTCTTTTGACCTGAAGTTGGTATTCATTTTAGTTTTTCTGTGCTTACGATTTAAGAATCATTTTCAAAATGTGAGAATACCTTGATTCCTATCTGAACCCCAGGCAGCTACGTACAGAGTGCAAATGTTAACTTATGCAATCAAAAAGCAGCAACACTGACAAAGAGATGTTACCCACTGAAATGTGGTAACATTGCCTCTCCTAAAATTATTTCTGGAGCTGACACCTCAAAGTTTATGGAGGCAAAACTCTCATGGTGGGCATACCCTCACTGAAGTCAATGGGAATTTTCCCTTGCTAAAAACTGCAGAATTATATCCTGCCTCCATTATTCAGAACTTTTTCTTCAAATGCTGTTGTCTCCTTTGGCCCAATTCTCTAATCCTTAATGAGGTGATTAATCCTTACAAATCTGAATGGTTTCCATGAGACTCCTTGATTAATTACTTAATGATACTTAGGACTGGGAGAATGATTTTCATCCATAGAGCTCAGAACATTTACCAAGAAGGATAAATAATAGTATTCTCATTTGAGAGAGAAACTACTCACATGAGTAAGAAACTCATGATCTGACCTCAGGAGCTGCTTTGCATCCCAATCTACATAATGTATTGTTTAAAGCACTGAGAAAAGAAATGCTTCAGCTTGATCCATAGTAAAACATACATTAGCAGCTAGATATAGAGACAGCATATTCTCTGTTTCATAACTACATTTCAGATGATTATCACTGCAATTGAAGTCATACAAGTAGTAAACCTGAATCATTTAGTACTTAATCTCTGAATATTGCTGCATTCATTTTCTATTGCTAATATTCTCAGTAACATGTACCTTTTCAAGAGCCACTCTTTCAGTTCTTGAAAAAAATATGTAAAATGACATGGCCATTAGTACATATCCTACAACAGGTCAGAAGATCTTAAGTAATCATACTTTTGTTTACAAACAATGACATTTGCACTTAGTGTTTAAAAATGCCATTTAAAACTAACATTTGTGAAATAATGTAATAAATCGCAAAAAGTTGATTGAAATCATCCTAAACCTCTGACAATATGCTAATCAATCCTAAATAAATCCACACACGAGGAAAAAGATATGCCTTAATAACAAAATGAATGGATGCTGATGTGAGCAGTTGATTTATTCTGCAGTTACTGTGCACTTGATTGATAAAGCTAGAAGCTCTTCATCCACAATATTGTGCCAACTGGCCATCTTCTAAAACACACTTTTGACAACCTTATGGGAAGTGCTTCTGTTTGCTCACCCAGTGTGCTCTACAAAGATGTATTTTCTTTTATAGCATGTTAAATTTAGAATTTGCAATCTGTACTAAAGTTTATATTTTCTTTCTTTTTCCAATTTTGTGTCAATAGTTGAAATTCTACAACATAGAGATGTGTGTTGGGGATAATATACAGTATTGAACTTCCATCCATACTGGACTGTAAAACATGTATGTTAAATCATAGGATATATTTTCCCCCTTCAAAGAATCAATAAAACTGTACATTAAAAGATATGAACTACATATTGAACTACAAAAGAAGGTCCCCTCTGTCACTAATTTGGAAATGTAAACAAAAAAGTTCAGGTACAAAAGTGAGCAACTATGCCTCTGCTGCAAATAGGATCTGGCATCCCGTGGCATTGATTTAATGTTCTTTAAAAATTGGTCTTCGTGGTGCTCGGAAAGCATCTCAGAAGAGTTCTCATCTTCACTACCAAATATCACTTGTGAAGCTAAGTTCCCGGGATGATAAAGGTAGCAACGGGTTGTTCCTATGAAATTCTTGGGTGTCCTTCATGGTGTTGTTAAGAGGTAGCTGTCCATTTAGTAGTGTCAAGGGTATGTTACAATAGGTGTGGTGATTACTTATGGAAGCTATTGGCAAGGTGGCAGCTGACATGTCATATTCGTACCCTCTGCAATAATGTCTCGTTTGCGTGGAATCTGTTTGATGGTAATCAGCTATATCTGCTTGAGATGCTTCCAAAGTGGAGGAGGCACCTGTCATAGAAATAGAGGGTACAGTTTGAAGGTCTCCAAAAAGTCCCTGTTCCGCAGAATCCAGGACTTGGCGCCGAGATAATATCTCTTTTTTCTTTGCTGGCATTTCATAGACTAAGTGCTTCCAGAACTTAGAATTCAGTTTGCTGCTTTTTGGTCCTTTCCACTTGACCACGGAGAGAACTTTGATGGTGTGCTTTAAAGATTCCACTTCGTGGTAATTCACTTTCCCTTTTAGGTCAACACACTCAATCAAAATCACTTTGATTTCTCCACTGACTAGCATGTTATGGAGTTTGTTTTCCATCGCAAAAATACTCCATCCTCTCCTGAGAACATAGTCTGGAGTTAGCACGATAATGAGTCTTCTGCTTTGCTCAACACATCTTGTGAGATCTTCAATGTATGCTACAAATTATAGAAAGAGAGAAAGAATAAAATAAAGAAGTCTATTGTAGCCCTTGCAATTAAGTATACTAAAATACCAAGGTTCCCTGAGGGTCACGCCCCACACCGGTTAATGGAGCTTTACAATAGAAATGTGATTGGACATTAATATACATCTCTCTATTTACGTAAAATTTTGAAAACTCTTAGGAAAAAAAAAGTCTTGCTTCTAAGCATTTCCTCACATTAATCATAATACAGCTAAGATTTAACTTCCTCACTGTTCAGCTGTGTTTCAGTAACTTACAAATGACAATATTTGTTTTTCATTTATGGAGACATTTTAGTTCTAGGTCTATTTAACTTTTGCATGAAGTATAAAAGTCACAACACTTGCTATGGCCATTATTAACATTTCTTGGGATTCACGCGAAGGTAATCAGTTTTAATGCTTCAGGGTGTAAAGAACAGCAGGAAATAAGGATGCTTCAGGGTGTATGGACTGCAGCTGATTGGTGTGCAGGAAGGACTCCTCCATCACCACATGTAGAAATTATATAATTGGAAAGATGCAACATGGGCAGGTTTTACCTTCTTCTATGCACATTGACCACAAAGCCAGAATACCAATCTTGGAGGTCCAATGATCTGCTTCAGTATTGCAAATCTATGTGTCTATGTACACAAGATAATTAACAGAATCTTCATTAGCCCATAGGGCAAATAACCCCAAACAAATGGAAAACATAAGTAAATGTAGCATCATTTAGTGCTGTTTATTTTCCAAGACACCTCTGCAAAGGAAAATGTATATTCTACATTCTTTACACATGCTAACGTTTGCAAGGTGCGGGTGTGAACAGAGATGCTGTACCACATCTACCTGTTTCCCCATGGCAATTTATCACCCCAGAATATATCCTAGGGGTTGACCCTTAGTTGATATGTTAGAAATGCCCAACGAAGAAAAAAAAAAAGGGTGGTGGAAGAGGGAAGAGGGGGGGAGGCAGAGGGAAGAGGTCAGTGAAATTAATCTTACATGAACCTCTTTACATCTATTTATAGAGGTCCTCACCCAAAACCCATTCAAAGCCAAGGAAAGACTTTCAGTGGGTCTTGGCTCAGGCCCAGAAAAATAATAAATAGTGATGAAATAACAACAAATGGTCTGGTAGCACTTTATAGACTAACAAAACATGTAGCGGGTATCGTGAGCTTTCGTGGGCATTTGAAGAAGTGGGCTGTGCCCACGAAAGCTCGTGATACCATCTACATGTTTTGTTAGTCTATAACGTGCTACCAGACCATTTGTTGTTTTTTCCTGTATGGACTAACTTGGCTACCCCCTGAAGCAAGTGATGAAATAGTGAAAACAGAAAAAAAGTGCTTTGATTTTGCTGGTAACACTTTACTTTTACTTTTTATTGCACAAAGTGTCCTTCTCGACCATGCGGGTCAGAAGCGTGCAGTCCGAGAAAGGAGGAAAAGCATGTGTTACAAATGAAGACTTAGACACAGGAGCTGCACACAACATCTTTACTGGCACAGGGCAGGATCTGTCTTACACATACTGCCCTCTAGCAGGACGAATGGTTACAGTGCACTTCATTGATCAACATCTGTAATACTTATTTTTATAGTCCCAGGCATAAACGCCGCAACATGCTTATTAACACCGCTTCCCACCAAAGAGAAAGCTACAAAATAGGCCAACAAACATTCAAAAATAGCTTCACTTTAGGAGACCGAGGGCTTAGTTAGCATACAATCTGCCTTTACCAGTGTTTTATTTCACCACTTATCAGCAAGGAAAAAATAAGTCACATATGAAAAAAGCGAATTTTTATACACCCTCCAGACAAACAAAAATTTCAAGACATACACATACAGTACAAATGTTTAGGCAACAATCTCTTGAGTTAAAGTTTTATGATCATTTACTCATGCAGTATATACAGTTCTTTGAAGTTTTTTTCTTAAATTGGTATTTTTTAAGGGAAAAACATTGCTGTCTTTAAAAGAGTTACTTATTGAAAATTCAGCATTAAAATTGGGGAAAAAAATCAGCAGCACTAGGAAGGTTATCAGCAGAACTGGTGAAACAAAACTTAAGGAAAGGTAGAAGTGTTCAATACAATGGAACGAGATTATCCCAATGTATCAACAGCTCAGACTCTTCATTTTCTTCCTTTCTTTCTGCTCCCAAAAAGAAAGAAGTTAGGTGGGAAGCTTCATCATTAGAAGTTGGATCTGCAAGATACAGTAAAACAACACACCATCATGCATCTTTCCTGAGACATTTTCATTCCTCCTTCAAGAAAGTCAGAATATGGATGCGCACAAGATCACTTCTGGTCCATAGGACACAGTATTGTTCTGTCATGACCAGAAAGTCCCACATATCCAGTTTAATACTGTGCATTGCTCTGCAAGTACTAAGCATGTCTATTATAAAAACATACATAAACCAATAGATCAATCCATTTCACGCATCTTTGTTAAAGAGTTTGTGGTGATATCTTTCATTGCAGCAATACATCGAATATATCAATTCTACGGAAAACTCACCCGATGCATATCATCTACAGCTGAAGAGGTGCTCTGAGGGAAAGACACACGCTGGTTCTCCCATGTGAGCTCTTTACCCCTCTGTGTTTCTCGTTTATTTTGCTGTTTGCAGCTTAATTGGTGGACACTGCAACATTTAGAGCACTTTCTATGGCTGACTAGAATGAGCCCTTACAAGGTTACCTTCAGAGTCCTTTCTCCAACCTCACGTGTGCAGCTGGCTGCTAGACCGACCTGCTCAGCGAACAATGGGTCGTTTGGTGTGGTGAGGATGGAGTTGAGATCAGTGGCTTTCACTCAACTAGAGCCCCCGACTATGCATCCGAAAGGAAAAAGCAAACAGGTTTTGAAACCGCATGGCCCATAATTACACAATCACTCCAATAGCTTGACAGCAGGGCACCGAATTCCAGCCTGAGTCTGTGCCGGCCAGATTCCCATGTGAGTTCAGGGAGCCTTGGGGAGGCATTAATTAATATCATGGTCTGTAGGGGCTTTATGCCAATAAGGAGAATCCGCACAGCCCCACCCTTACCCATTCATGTGGGGCTAGGCTGGGAGGCTGCTACAGGAGCAGCTGGCTGCAGCTTTATACCAGCAGGCAGCTCTTCTTCCAGCAGTATTTTCTGCTGTCAAGTTACGGCCAGAATCTAGTTTGCTGGACAGAGGCTGAAACCGAACACAGGGCCTGTCCACTGTGATTTTTTACAGGGGTCTGTTGCCTTGTGATTTGGGAAATCTGCACTAAACCAAAGCCTGCATTGTTACCCTCTCTGCAAAGCCCCTACTTGTGGCGAGACAGGCAGGCTGGGAATCTCTTGCAGCAGGTGCAGAATATTCTGCTATCACTCTTATGCCATCTGTGAAAGATTGCTCTGAGAAAATATTTCGGACGTGAAACTTACGCAGGGGAATTCGCCTAGGCCAATTTTACACACACACCCCTGTTGGAAAGACAAAAATAATCACAAAGTTCTGCAAATTTCAGAAGCAACATAAAACTACAGCCATGTAATTACGTATCTTTGAGTGGCATGGCTAATCCTCGGCTGGTAGAAATGAGCAAAGCTGCATTCACTTGAACAGCATAATCTGATTTACACTGGTTGAGGATCTGGCAAAAGTGAGAGGGATTGGGAATGAAGGCTGGGAGGTTCAAAGGGGAAATCTGTGTCCAATCTCGATCAAGAGAATCTGTTTTTGATCAGCAGCATTTTGTGGCTGCAAAGATTCTCAAAGGGCAGTGAAGTAGCCAACCATCCAAAATGAAATGGAAGGAGAAATGTTTAACACTGATCACAATAGGCCAACAGCATCTTGTATATGTTACTTATGAGTTTGATTCAGGCAACACATGGTGCACTGTGTCTCCTGTTTTGGCTGGTGGATGCCATACTGCAGAAGAGAGTAAGAAAATGAAGAAAGAACTCAAACCCTACAAAATTAAAGCAGCACAGGAGTTTCTTAGTGGGGGGATAAGCTAGTTGAAGAAGGAGAAAAGAAAACACGTTAGCCTCTCCCATGGGAGTTTGGTGTGCTAAGCTAGTTGAAGAAGGAGAAAAGAAAACACATTAGCCTCCCCCATGGGAGTTTGGTGTATAGAATTGGGACCCTTTGCAGCAAAAGAAAAGAGCAAGGAGTAACACAAGAAAAGGTGGGAGCAGCAAGTTGGTATAATTTTCCAGCTAGCACATGAGTCAGACTTAACTGGGAACTGACAAGCAAAGTAGTAAAGAGAAACACAATAGTAGGTAAATACAGTACCACTATAAGGGTATGTCTACACTGCCACTCTAGGTTGAACTAGGATGGCTAGTGTAGACATACCCTAATGTATGTTTTACATATTCTGAATGTAGCATTATTCTATAAGGATTTTTTAGGATCTCACATCAGACACTAAAGAAAATAGTAAAGTTCAAATACCAAGGGCATCAATTGCCTTATGCAGCACACATCTGTACTAATGATGTATTAACTCCATTTTAAAAATCACCTTTGCTAATAGGTGCTAAGCCAAAAATGAAATAAAATAATACAAGCTGGAGGAGAAATCCACCCTCCTCCCTTATGTTAGAACTGCCGCCTTAACCTGTAGCTCTGTTTGTTATTGTTCAGCTGAGTTGGTCTGGCTCATGAAACTGTATATATTTTTATTAGTCTCTAAGGTGCCACAGGACTACTCATTGGTCCCTTTTGCCACCTTAAATGTAAATAAAGCAAATAAAAAGAAAGCATCCTTCCTGGTACATGGACACAATTATATCAGGGAAGAGTAGGCCCCAAGAGCATTCGGTTTTTGGAAGCTCTATTCCTAATAGTTATTCTCACATCAGACACTAAAGAAAATAGTAAAGTTCATATACCAAGGGCATCAATTGCCTTATGCAGCACACATCTGTACTAATGATGTATTAACTCCATTTTAAAAATCACCTTTGCTAATAGGTGCT